CTTGCAGACCAGAAATTCTTCAGTAAATTGTTGTTTAAGTAACCTCTCCCTCTGCACTCAGACCACCACCACACTCAAAAGCTGGATGGGCTTATCCACCAAGATTCATCAGCTTCCTCCTGTTCAGAGCTGTGTATTTAAGATATACACGGTACTGTCTAGCAAGGAGTTCTAGAATTTAAATAAGCATCAAATTAGTAAGCTTTTCTGTGCTGTATATTGTATTTTATTATTTTCCACAGGACTGGAATCAGGAAGCAGTGATGAAACTGCTGAAGTCTGTTCCTCTCGGCCTTTCACACATTATGAATTTTCAGGGCTCTATCACATTTTCCCCACAGCTCTCTCATTTTCTTTTCCAACCTGAAAAAGTTCTGACAAAGATTGTCTACAATGAAACCATTTCACTGTAAAACCTGTTCTACTACAATCTCTTGTTAGCAACCAAACAAACTCACTACTATTTCTTCCCCTTAGAAATACTGGGGGATGAACTTACTCCAGTTCTTATGAAAACTACATTCAAACTTCAAAATCCCATAAGTTTTATTTCCAGTCTGAATAGTTAAAGATAGCTGCTGAAAATCATATGAAAGCAAGAAATATTTTAGCAGCAAAAATAAAGAGCAAGTTCAAAAGACAACTATACATCCTACTAACGTGCCTGTCAAACTACAGGTCAAATCAGGTATTTTCTGGGTTTTCTTGAACTAGATCCCTAACATATATATTAAAAATAACTGAACTGTGACTATCTTCTACTATTTGGTATCTTCTTGTTTACTGCATTAACAACTGAACAAGTCCACTCAAATTTCTAATCCCTGGGTTAGCTATATTTGAGAAATTAAAGTTATATATCTTCTATTCATTAAAATTTATTTTGATATCCCAGAGTAAGTCAGTAGATGTCATCTTCATCTAGGTTCATCTACTGTGGTCTTCTACCCAATTACAGAAGCTATGGTTTAATCAGCCCATTATATCAAAACCTCTCATGAGATATAACAACATCTGATCTTTTCCAAGAACGACTTGAAAAAAATTAATGTTCACCTCCAGGGACCCTGTGAACTCCCCTCTGAAAAGTATTAAGCTATCTTACAAACATTCCAGAGCCCAAAAACACCTCCAAAAGGAAGTCTGACAGAATGCAGTTTCACAGGGAGTTTTCTACGTACACACTGATATAGTTGTGTTAATTACAAACAGAAAATGTTTGTGCAGCTGAAGTTGAGAAAACTACTTTTTCCACTCAAATAATGAAACAAAGCATGGTCTAAGCTTCATGGCTGTAAACACATTCCTACACTAAATTCTGCCACCACTAACTCATCACTATTCAAAATACATGTTTAAAAAACACAAATGCACTCAGCAATTTTAGAAAAGGAACGTTATTATTCTATTTTCTGGAATAACTGGACTGAGTGGACTGATACAGTGCACTGAGGCTAAAGCACTGTACCGCGATCTGCAGACACACGGGTTAAAGTGCCAAGGACCTCAGAGCAGTGTATGAAGTGCAGAATGCTTCATAATGCTTTTAGTTAAACACGGGATCCTCTACAATTGCTTACAATTAAGAATTGCCTCAGTTTTATCAGAACACTGAAACCATCCCCTGAAAACACAAAGTCTAAAGGGAGATTAGCAATAATCAGAGGAAAACAGAAGTATATGGACAGTTGAGCAAACACACCTGCAGTTACAAGTTTAGCACTGCTGCCCTTGCATTCTCCATCTTCCACAGTTTTGCTTGTGCTCTTTTCTTTCAAGAGAGGAACAGTATTGTCAAAAGGTATGCACTTGCTGGAGGCAACATTTTCTCCACTGTCTGGCTGATTAATTCTGCTGTTTGCTTCAAGTAGAGGAGTGAAGTCCTCAGACTGAGCAGCTTCACCAGGTTCCAGCTGAGAGGAGCTTTTAGCCTGCGACACATTCTTTGAAGACACAGGAAGAGATTCTTCATCACTGTCAAATCCAAATGGATCCTCTGTTACCTCATCTTCAACTTTGGGTTTCTTAGGAACTTCAGAAATATCTGGTTTGACACTGGGCCTCTTCTGTCCTAATTTGGCCATGAAGGTGGTTTCTCCCCATTTTGTACTAAGGGTGGTCCGTTTGTTGGAAAACACTTCATCAAACTTGGAACTGCCATTTCCCCCTTTCCGGCTGTAGGTCTTTCCAAATCGGGATGTCATTTTGGCTCTTGTTTCATATTCTCTGTTGCGATAGAAAGAAGAAACATCAATTCATCAGCCTTCTAGTATAAATGATTGGTACTTCCACTCTTTATTGGGCCTATGAGCACCAGGCATGTACATTGCACACAAGCAACAGATCTATCATCTGCTTCTTTCTAGACTCACTCATTTACATGGGACTGTCATCATGGCAAAAGGTTCTGCACTAAGCATCCACTAAAATAAATTGAAATTCAGTTGCTTGCACATTTATAAACCGATGGCACAATGAATCCTTAAGAAAAGTCTTCTAAGAATGATATTGATTTGCTCTAATTTTATATTTTCAAGTATAGAAGGCACTATCATAAAACATCATGAAACAACTCAGCAATATTTTCACCACATGTGAATACGCAGCTCCCTCCTAGAGTCCAAAAGCACAGCATGGCATAAAAAACACTCTTGCCAGTTAAATACAAAAACTGCCAGAATATTTCTCGTTGCTGTAGATGTATTTTAAGTACTAATTAATCACAATGATGACAACTCCATCCAATGTTCTTCTCTCACACTCATTTAGCAAGTGTTTTACTTGGTAACGTGATGTGGTTTTTGCCACCTGCATCAGTCCTGGTGCATAGCAATCTCCCACAAGTAGATCTGATTCATCAAGGGACAGAACAGGGACACTGCTCCATCCATTTCTAAGAACATGGAGGACACCTAAGCAGGCCAGTGCAAACCATTAGTGTTCACTGCTCGACAGCTTGCTCAGAACAGAAGTGTAAAATTAACAAATTCAACAGGAACACATTTATTAGCTCCTTGTATGTGTTCTTTTTCTACTTTTAACTGGAGAAGGAAGACAGAGCAGCAGGGGGATTTTTACCCAAAACCAGATAGTTCAACTACTGGATAAATGACAACAAACGCCAAATCCTCATATGTTTTGTGAACCACTGTTTCTCTCTTTTTTGGCCCAAACATCGATAGGAAATTGCAATTCTTTATAGTCAGCCTAAATCTAATCAAGTCCATCTTTCTCTCTGAAATTCCTGTCCATACTGGAAAAAAAGTCTGTTAAAAAAGACAGTTACTTAAGCTACAGAAAAAGAAATCTAACTTTTGAAGTGTTAACTAACTTTATATAAAGTATATGAAAATCGGCAGTTAAAATAATTTTTATTTAACTTATCATGATCTATTTGTTCAATACAACTGGTTTTATTATTATTCCCTAAATACGTTATATATTGTCATTCCTATTTTAGTTTTCATTTCAACACTCACAGTGTCTCAACCTGAAGTGTCACTCTTGCTTCTGCCAAAATTGCCAGTCTGCTTTCCAGAAATGTCCCTCTATCACTTGATTCTATCAAGACTGCCTCACTAATAATATTCTCCCTCTATTAGACCGGGCCAACCTGCACTCATCATGAAGGAGCTGAGCAATTCATGTGGAGAAAATTTATGGAGAAAATTTGAAGTGAATTAAAATGATAAAATTTGAACTTCAGAAGTTTACCAGGTAGAAGGCGATGCAAGGCAGAAGAGCCACAGGAACACCCACTTTGGGAAAGGCTCTTCCTGCCAGTGGTGCAGCCAAGGGAAGGTAAAGGCAGGTGAGCAGAGCTCTGCTGCACAAGCCCCCTCTGCAGAGGGCTGCTGGCTGCTCCTAGGGGACAGCACTCTTTAACCCCATCTCCTCTTTTCCCCCCACACATCACTGCCGAAATGCTTTTCTTCCTCCTCTATTTTCAATTTTCTATCTACGCATACTTTAGAAAGCAAACATGAAACTAAATCCAAATTACCAGTTTTATTTTGCTGATGCTTGTAAATGTTTGTAACAGTAACCATAATATTTTAGACCAGAAAGGCCAGGTTTTTGAGCTATAGAAACTAAAGCAAAATATTTATTAATATCTCAGTTTCTAACAACTTACAGGAAAGAAAAAAAATTACTTCACTCACCACTAGCACATTTTCCTCCCCTAAATCCTCAAGACTCAAATAAATATTTCTTATAATAAGCACTCAAATAAGTACTTTCGACACTACATTTCTAGCCTATGCAAAGATAATGACAGATTTAGATTATAGCTTGTGGGCTGCAGTTCCAAAGATAAAATTCCTGTAGTGAAGAGGAGCTCAGTTTCAGAAAGCAGAACCATATTTTCTTACGTATAAACTTTAAAATAAAGAGCATCTCATAAGAAGTTTTAAATCAAAATATCAAAACACAAATTAATACTCAATATGATGTGCACAGGTTAAAAGATGAGTATTAGGAAAATATAAATGTGCTATGATATAAACTCATATCTTAGATTTAAGGACATAAAGAGGTGTCTCCTTACAGGAGAGCATCAACAGAACAGGATTTTTACTCTTTACTTACAATTTTCTCTTGATTTTTCACTCAGAGGGAAATAAAACACTTGGTCAATTTCACTCTGTTTCCACTTCCTGCCTCCCTCGCCTGCATTGTGCTGCACCATTTGGAGCAGTGCAAGCAACGTAAATACATGTAAAAACCCGAAACACTTCTCCCGCCTTTCCCAGAGCTAACTCGACGGACCAGTTGGAGACAAAAAACCCAGTAATTCCCCAAGAAGCTCATCAGCCACCCCTACTCATCGCTCCTCTCTACACCGCTCTTCTTACATAATCAAAGGAAAGAAAAATAGGTTAAATGCACGGAGGCAGAAGGAGCTGATGAAATCCCACGGTGACAGTTTCTTTTTTCCTCCCTCCCCCTGCGGCGGGGGGGGGGGTGCGAGCGGAACCGGGTCACCCCACCGCTCCCTGATGTCATTTCCCTTCCCGCCCGGCCGCCTCCCCCGCCCCGCCGCACCACCGGCCCACATTACACAAGTGCCCCGGGCAGCCGCGGCCCGGCCCGGCCGGGCGGCGCAGCCCGCGGAGCCGCACTCCCCCCGCCCCAGCCCGCACTTCAACCCCGAGCGAACTCCCGCCCCACAACTTCGCGCCGGACCGGGGGCGGCGGCCCCACACGTCCCTCCAGGCGGGGCAGCGCCGGGGGCCGCGGCGGCGGCTCCTGCCCGTGGGGTGCGGGCCCCGCTCCGCAGCCCGAACGGCCCCCGCCACCCCCTTACCCGGCACCCACCTCGGCGTCAGCGGTGGCGGCGGGTGCCGGGCGCGGGCCCGGCCGATGTGGCTCCGGCCGCGGGTTCGGGCCGCCGAAGCGCCGCCTGCGAAAGGCGCTCAGCGTGCGGGACGCCTCCGCCCCTCCGGCAGCAGGACCCTCTCGGGGTGTCGCGGGCGTCAGGGCCCCCGGCGCCGCCTCCTCCGGCGCCGCTTCCTCCGCGCCGGGATTATCGCCGCGCTCGGGACGGGCCCTGGGACCATCTCTCCGCCATTTGCCCCCACTCCTTCCTGCCGTCACCGCGCGCGCCCCGCCCCCCGTCGCCGCGGCCAATCGCTGCGCGCCCCGCTCGGCCGCCCGCGCCGCCTTCGCGCCTGCGCCTGTCCGCGCGGTGGCCGGCGGGAGTTGTAGTTTGCGGCGCCGCCCGGGTCCCGCCGGGCCCAGGCACGGCCCCCGGAGTTGGCGGGCGGGTCCCCGCGGTGGGGCGGCCCGCGCCGGACGGAACGGGGTGGCCCGGCCTGGCGGGAGCCACCGCCTCCCCGCGGCCGCCTCCGCCCGGGCCCGCGCGGAGACTCAGAAGGCGGGGCCAGCGGCCCCCGCCGCTGGCAGCCGCGAGCGGCCCCACCCCGATGGCGCTCGGGCCCAGGTAGGTCCCGAGCACATCGAGGTGTCTCGGAGCAGAACGGCCCGGCTGGAGCCGCGGGAGGTCAGAACCCTGCCCGGGACTTCGTGAAGGCAGCAGGCGCTGAAGCGGCCCTGTGTGCACTCTACTAAAAGTTTGCGGCGCCTCGTCCAGGGCACACGAGCCCCTTGCGCTCACGGCCGCCCTGGCTGGTACTCACAGTGGGTGCACAGTGCCCGGCCCTCACATCCGCTCCAGGGAGGAAACATGCTCTGCAGAGAAGGCCCGCGGAACGAACACGGTGCAGGCCGTGAAATTGTGGCTTTCACATGCTCCCACTTCCACAAGCTGTTACATCTACCCACACGCGTTAGATTTATGCACACCTTTGAGGCTTTAATTAATGATACACACAGCGCAGAGAGAAAAAAATGCTCCACAAGGATTGTTTCGTGCAGCAAATACATATGGCCATCAAACAGTCACCAAATCCAACATTTTATATTCTGCAGGCAGTATTTTGTAAAATCCTTGTGGGATAGAAAACTAAGGATGCATGACCAGTAAAACGTTTTAAAAAACATTATCACACAGATGTAGTTTGGTCATTTTTCAGAGAAGTGAGGAACTCAGAAAAGTGAAATGAAATTCTATAACCTTGGAGTCTAAAATGGTTTCACAACACATGCTCATACTCAAGCCATCGTTTGAGGCTTTACAATGCAAGTCCCAAATGCAGAACTAATTAAAAGGCTGGTTTCACTGCGCAGAAGAGATTAGAGTTGTCTCAATACCTCTAGCTCTTTTCTTAATTTCTATTTACCCAATGCAAAATCACTGCCTCACAATAAGAAGATGCAAGACTATGATTTTGTTTAGTGATCCTTTGAGTAAATCTGGTCTTTGTAGTTTCTAAAGCAGTGTACAACTGGTGCTGCTGGAGAAAGTGGAGATAAAACAGGACCTTGCAATGAGAAGTACAAGCTTTGTGTTGTGTTTCAGGCAAAGCTTACAAGCTCATCTGTATCTCACCTAACTCAGTTACCTAAGAAGAAGTTACCTCAGAAGATCCACTGAAAAACAGGCTACAAACTTTAAAATCTGTAATTTGACTACAAAAAGTGAGAAGATTGTTCTCCTGAGAGTATTCTTGATCAGAGCTACTAAGTAGCTCATTTAAACTATCAGAGTAAAATAGATAGCTAAACCTGTTTGAGTTTGCATAGTCTTATTTGGCGACTGATTTGTTGGACAAAGAAGAAAACACTTCTGTGAGAGCTCGAAACACTGAGGCTCTGAGAAATTCTTTACAACATAAAAGTTTGTCCTGAGAACCAGAAAGAATATGGCCAGAGTAAGGAAGTAACACCAAGAAACTATTAAGAAATCATTTTTATTTTGATACGAAGTTAGAAGAGTTGAAATTAAATTAGAGCTGTTTCCAATGTAGAGCCTGGGCTACCTAAGTCGCTTATACAGTAATGCAGAGAATTTTTCAGTCTAATGATAGTAATTGGATGTCATGGAAAGCTCTTACACACCTTATACCCCTGGGCTAGCTTCATATTTCTAGCTGTATTTCTAGTCTTTGTAGAAACCCCATACAGAGTAATCCAAACCACTGCAGATTCATGGTCATGAGGGAATTTCCCATGACTAACAAAGGCTAAATTAAACTCATTTATGTGCTGCCTATCCTATCCTGGGTACCAGCAGAAGTCTGCAAGTGAAGCCTCTTACTTGGATGATGATGGAAAAACAAACCTTGTTGTGTTCAAGAACAGCAGAGATGTGCTAATTTTACTGCCCCAACATACTTTAGATACTTTGAAGATTTGACACCCTGTATCTTAATAAGCTTGGCAGTTAAGACATTAAGCTTTGCTATTTCCATTTGCATCTGGCTCACATCAAATATGCAAGTACCATGGCAAAGCAAATAAAAGGCACATCCCGTCTGTGTTTGGCAGTAGGTATGTTTCATTCTCAGAGGGTGGAATTTAACGGGCACTTTATGATTTTTTTGTGAAATTATATTACTGATAGTGTCCATCTCCCATCACACAAAAAAATCCCCAGAACACCAACTACAAAAATCCTTTCAAAAAAAAAGCAGTCCATGATACACTCCAGTTTGGCATTTGTCTTCGTGAGAACAGCAGTGGGAGATAAGCAGCCATCTTCAAAATGTAGTTTTTCTACCTTAAAAGCTTTTTGGGAAAGTCGAAGTGAACCCTACAGCTTGCCATTACTGCTCGCCCCCATCCCCCCCCCAAGAGAAATCATCATCTTTGCTGTTTGTAATAAAGTTAGAAAGCTCTGAAAAACACAGCTCAAGTACATCAAAGGTGAATATAAAAGAGATAAAAGCATAGTAGCAGAAGGAACACATAAGAGGGACCGAACAGTTATTTGGATACATCACATCTTAACACACTCTAGACCCCTCTCAGTTCTCTCCTTGAGGATCTGTGCCAGGACCAGTGTGGGGCAAACAATACAGAAATTTCCAAATGAGCTGCAGCCTAGTACAGAGCCTTTCAAAAACATTAAAACATTTTGAACTGTTTAATTTTCTTCCAAAAGAAAAGGGAGGGAATGCAGTAGGAAAACAGGTTTCCCATGTAGCAGATACTCTTGGGGCAGATGAAGACAGTCACATCCTTCCAGAAGCTGTCAGGAAGGTTTCTCAGTGTTGCCTCATGGACAAAACATAGCATTTGACAGTAATAGCAGCATAACTGAAGTTAAGGTTTTAAAGGGACCATAGCAGTAGGTATCCTTTATATCAAGGACATGAATTAGCACTATACACCCTTGCTCCTGTCCTTTTCCCACAAAAAGGAATACGCTCATAATCCATTGCCCTGTTTCCCTGTGAAGCACTCCCCAAAAAGCAAACAGTAGCTCACAGGAAAACACTCCCCATTGCTCCTCATGCCTAAACTGCTCTTTTCACCACTGTGAAAGCCTCTTAGTCCACTCCTTCAACTCTCCCTCTTCCCTGTTCTTCTGCTTCTCAGCCTAGTCACTATTTGCCTTCCAAGTTACCAACTTCTTGTAGTACTTCCTTCCTTGCCTCTTGTCCAGGTGGGAAGGGATGGGGGAAGAGGATGTCCTGCTGCACTCAAAGCTTCTGCAGTGCTTTCATGTCCCAGTTAGCACCACTTAGAATGCTAAACATTTTGGTGCTTTTTGCTTTTTCTGTGCCAAAAGTCACCGTGCTCCTGTTGCTGCCCTTCAAATGTCACAGGCACACATAGGGAGAGAACACACGGGCCCTTGCCCTTTTGATTCACTGGGGTGAGAATTTCCCCCTTGCTATTTGCACAGCAAAGGTGACAGGATGGTAGAGAGACACATGAAGTAACTAATTAACATATTTTAGTCAACTTCTCCTAAAATAGTAACTTAGACTTTAGTGTGGCCATGGTGGAAGAAGGGTAGCAGCAGCAGCCCCAGCAGCAGCACAGGACTGGGCAAGAACAGCAGGATTGTACTGAGAGCTGCAGTGACTGCACAAGGCAGACATGGTGGGTTGACCCAGGCTAGATGCCAGGTGTCCACCAAAGCTGCTCTGTCACTGCCCTCCTCAGCTAGGCAGGGGAGAGAAAATATAACAAAAAGGCCCATGGGTCAAGAAAAGGGCAGGGAAAGATCACTCACCAATTACTGTTACAGGCAAAACTGAATTGACTTGGGAAGATTAGTTAAATTTATTACCAACCAAGTCAGAGTAGGATAATGAGAAAAAACCCTAAAACCTTGAAACACCTTCCCCACATCCTCCCTCTTCCCAGGCTTAACTTTGCTCCCAGTTTTCTCTATCTCCTCCCTCCTCTCACATATTCCTCTCCAGCTGCAGTTGGGCAGTTTTCTTTTTCCCTTTCTTATATCTTGTCCTTGGCCAATTTCTGTCAAGAATATGGCTTTTCTTAGTGACGTATTTCCAATGGATAACGTGCTGCTAATTTCTGACACTGAACCCTGAGAAGAACTGAAAGCACTGTAACAGGGGATCTTTATACAGCTTTGGATCATAATTTTCAATAGCTGCCTCCTCATATGTGGAGGTCAAGCCAAGGCATTACGTTTAGTAACCAAAAGGTTAAAACAAACACTGCTAGACCAAAGGAATGCTTATCTGAGTGCAGCAAAGGGCCAGTTCTCCATGATTTAAAAAAAAAAGTTCTCTGGATCGTGGCATTACTGAATCAGGCCCAGACAGCAGAAAAAGTTGTGCTCCACCTTCTCTCTGGCCTGCACACCCATCTGTTGCAATCATGTGAGAGGCAGCATCATCCCTGCAATGTCAGAGCCTCTGGAAAGACTCGTTTTACTCGATGAACCAACAGTAGTCATTCACCTATGGCTAAATTCTCAGTGGTTTTCTGTGCAGCTTTTTTCCCTAGGTGATCAGCCTGAAAGTCTACTGGAAAAACCTGTGTTGAAACACTAGTGGGAAAACAGAAAATAGCTTTCACCTTGTTATAATCATCAAGGTCAGAACTTTATTCTGCTATGCAGTATATTCCCAGCAAGTTCTGCTGAGAAAATAACCACCTGTGCTGTTTCCCACTGAAGATTTTATGATGTGCCAACATGTTTCAGGAGAAAAATACAAAGCAAAACAAAGGCATTTGTAGTAAGGATGCAGCCTCACTTTAAAATCCACAAAGAAAGTCTAGGTTCCTCTGTCCTTTGAACAAAGCAGGTTCTCGTTGTATAAGGAATAAAAGGGTGCTGTTTCTTTCAAATACCTGAAGTCTCTCACAGCCCTGTAGGACAACCAGACTGAACACCAACCTTTCCTTCTTCCTGAATGTTTTTAATTCCTTTTAAGATCTCTCTGTTTCATGTTATTATTGAATTTCTGTCTGTTTTTATAGCAACAGCCCTTAAGGAAAGCTACCAAAGTGCTTACTGGGGAAACAAAAACAGGAACCCATCAAGAAATTGGTTTTTATAACAAGCTCATTGGTGCAATTGTCATTGTCCTATTCTATTCCTCCTCCAGCAATAGG